AGACAATCTGGGAGTATTCGGCCTACTAGCGAAAAACGAACTGACTTCTTTGTTATAAAGATGTGTTTGGTACACAGTCTGGATCAAGCGTACTTGCTAATATCAATGTATAAACATCGACAAATTTGGAAATTATGGGTTACAGCTTCGCCAGCCACATACACACAAACACTTAACTTCAAGATTCTTTAACGTTTTCACGTACCAAATAGCGTTGTAATGTACTACTCATGTTTTTGAGTAGTATGTTTGGATTGCGCAAAAGAATAAAATCGGACGTTTCTCGCAACTCCCGTTTTATTATCCAGACCAGATTCTCTAACTCTGCTGCTGATTTTATGAGGTATTTCATCCTCATATTTCCTACGAAACGAAATGCAAAGGATAACTACTTACAGCTTCCACTTGGGACCGATATTCGAGTAACCTATCGAGATAGGGAGATTCTATTAGTTTACATCAGGAACATTAGTGAAACCGTGGATTCTTCACCTTCTCCTTTCTCTTTTCCGAAGGTATAACTACTGGGGAGAATACCTGAATGGTACCAGACATTTTGCTGGTAAAACCGTAGAATCAAGCATTCGCGTAGGGAAACCCGAGTGAAAAATACTGCCGCAAAAAGCGCTTATTGGGGCAAATCTAGAAACCAAATATGTTCATTTCATCGAACTTGAGATGTCTAATTTCGCATCTTCGTCTCATCAAAATTGATGAAGTGACCACACAAAAGCAACAATCCACCTTTACGGTTAGGCAACATAATTCTCTGGGAAGCGTAGTCTATGTGCGCATTTACGTTTTATTTAGTCAACTCTACAAGTCAAGTTGCCATTACAGAAAAAGGCAGATATTGGTATTTATGTGAATCGGTTACCATACTTGCTCAAATCTTTGACAACGTAGAGCAGGAGTCAACCTGGACAGACCAAATCAGTGGCACACTGAACTACCAATGAGTTTGAATCACAGTATATTTGACAGATACAGTCAATCTCCTGCCATGTCACACCCCTGAGAAGTCGCATTTTCCAATATCTTCCCACATTTTATAAAACCAAAACCAACCGTATGCCTAGTAACGTAGTTTCTGACCATGCAATGTTGCCCCACTCATTATGTCGCAGTTCCTGATACCTACTCACTTGGTCCGTGACTAATGTTCGGCATGGATTTGACCAGCCATCCTGCAATGTCGCCCTCAGCCAATGGCGTTTCACCTAGTTTGATGCGAACATGACACTGTCCACTGATTGGATAAACCTTGCGAGGAAGATACAACGATGCCAACAATCGAAGGTGATGGCTTGAATTAAACTGTGCAAGTGCTTATCAATCAAGTAGAAGCCCACTGTGTTCGAAATGCTGAATCAGCCAGGTGCAAATCAGAGTTCCATATAGCCGAATCACTTAGTATTTCAAGACAAACCGCTGACAGTGTCACATCCCATCGAACAACTATCGGATAATTTGTGAACACTAGAGCATCTCAGAAAAGATGCCACCTGGAAACAAACGAAAAGTTCAATACAGTGGATAAGGCAGCCTTGGCTTAGTTTACTGCTGAGGGAAAAGCTCGGCGAATTCCCCATGGTGGAAAGCATCACTGTAAGAAAACAATCCAGCTAGCACAAAAAAATGCACCATCGGGACTTCAAGTCTTCTAACGGTTGGTTTCGCTCTTGGTCAAACAGATGGGGTATTCAATCCTACAAAGAGACAAGCAAGTACTCATGTGCATTACTTTATAGGTTTGTGGGGAAAGTTTGTTGGTACCACGTGATGCAGTGGACGGTTTCGTGCGGGGTTACCGCAGTTGATTCATGGATACGCTGACTGTGATATTTTCAATGCAGATGAAACAGCGTTGTATTACCAGCAGCTCCCAGGAAAAACATTAAGTCTCAAAGGAATAACAGTTTCCGGATCCAAGAAATCCAAAGAAAAAGTCACGTTTACTGCCTTGTGGGAGCATGACTGGAGAAAATTTATCACCGTTGGTTATTGACAAATTCCAAACTTCACGATATCTCCGAGGTATAGATAGAAAAAGCCTTCCTTGATGTCATAATTCTTCAAATAACCTATGGATAACTTCTGCGTTATTTCACAGTTGGCTGTCCGGTGTCAAACGCAAGCAGGTTTTTCAAAGACGCTCTATTTTACTATTGATAGATAACGACCCTTGCCATAACAAAGCCGCATTGTTATCCAATGTCAAATTAGTACGCCCCCGGTCTAACTGTACACGTCCGTTCACTAGGATTTACAAATCCAATGTGCTATAAATGTGCTTGTTTGTTTTACGTCAGTGATTGAGAAGATTAAACGAAATGCTAACATCTCGCGACATGTCTTCTGTTGGTCTTGATACGCTTTCATAAAAGCTGGGTTCAAACTAGCATTGGATAAACCGATAATACAGCCGACAGAGGATAATTGCGAGCTGACTGAAGACTTTGTCCACTGTGTTGATTGATGAACGTCTTTTTGAAGACGAATTGCCTGATCAGAATTTGATGATGAAGAAGTGGGTTATTTAAGATTGTTATATCCATAGATGAACTCGATTTGAATTAAGATAAGCGTCACAAGGAAGAGGAAAGTGAATGTGAAGCAGTGAATGTAGTGGAATTTATTCCAATTAGAGAAGCACATAAGTCACAGGATAAATTAAAGCTGTTTGCCTCGGCTAATGCTGGGATTTCGGGTCGATTAGTGGAGTGTACAATTAATTTAAACAGCGCGCTTATTTATTTCAAAGGGAGAGTCAGGGTGAGACAGATGACGATTTATGATCACTAAAAAGATGTATATCTTTGTAATCTGCAAAGGTTTCTCCCCGCAATTCTGTGGGGCACTCGGATGTTGTCATTCTTGTTGCAGTAGTCCCCAAAGTCACGGTCATTCGGTCTATCGATGGGCTCTGTCGCACTAACGGGTGGTGGTGGTGATGGCTCAGTGGTTCAGTTGCGAGCTTTGGACCTTACGCTTCGAGGTTCGAGCCCCGCCACCGCCACCCAATTTGGGTGGTAAGCAGCCTTGCTCTCGTCCGGTTCAATACCACGTCCAACCTAGAGGGACCTTAGGCGGTTCGCCACTCCAAATCCAGGGCCTTGGGTTTGCACCACTGAACAGCAGGTCCTCGTGACTATGGGGTCTACCCCGTCTGCTGTTCGTCACATTAAAAAAAGAAGTGTGTAACAAGAAAAGATGTAAACGAACGAACGATAATCGAGATTGACTGGTAAGTGGGTGTGTGGAGCAAAAATATCAGATCCAAGTGATCGATAAACGCCATCGCGCGGACCCGCCTGTGCGGAAGAGGAAACTATAATCGTACTTGTCCTTGCCTCAGCACCGATGAACTGAGACAGGTCACTGGCCAAAGGTCATCGTAACCCGGGTCTAACGCGCTCCTGACTGTTTGAGCCATGCACTTCTAATTTGTGAATCACGTTATGGCAGCACGTGTTGAAATTAATCCGTCACTTATATTTACCAGCACTGTCCATAACGAATGAATCGATCGGTTTGAACATACACTGGCCAAAACAAAAAACGAAAGAAAGAATAGATCTCTACAGACGCTAATGCCACATATTTTTCAGCAGAATATCATGAACAGATTGCACACAGAACAATCAGTTTGGAATATGAGGAAGAAGTCAATGTACTAAGTATACCCCGAAGCAAATATTTCACTTAGTTTAAATGAAGTGATCTCCTCCGAATGCGAATTTCTTCCCATGTTCTCATTGTGTTCGACCTGGTTTATTCCTGTTTTCATCGACTGGGTTGAGAATGATGTGATTATGATAACAGTTGTATATTATGGCGGACGTCAGCTACACAATTCTGTGGTTCGCCCAACATTGCAAAGGAATGGAGAAATATCTGAAGTTAATATGCGACAGGTGGATAAGAAAAGATGCCTCTGAAGAAAGGTAAGTAGTTTCGGGATAACTGGACGCTTGAAACTGAAAAGGAGCTGAATGTTTTAATTTCAGGCTGAGGGCATCATAACATTTTTTTAAATTTCTTCGGTACATAAAGAATACGCAGGACGATATATTTGGATTGCGTTATGAATAAACACTACCTAATTATGAACATTGGAAACAAGTAACGGAACTGACGTACCTCCCAGCGATCCGGTTTATTTTGTCACAAAACTAACAACCAATTTTTCATACTTCTTAATAGCATCTACTACTGATTAACGTATCGTGTCGTGTCGCAGTTCCTGGAATTTACCCACTTCTTCGAATTCCCGAGGGGTGCGACACAGCAGGAGATTGACTGCATAGGTTTATTCTGACTACAGTGTTGTTCTACTGCAACCAGTAGGGGAAATGTGACGTGATGTGATGCAATTAATCGTTTTATCCAGGATGATTGACTTGTTCAACAACGCACAAGCTCAGATGATGAATCCCTGCTTTTATAGATTTACGGATTAGCCACACGCACACGCACACACACACACACACACGAAGCAGTACACGACGTGATCACTTAGCCCACCGATGGAGTCGGACTGTTGGGGAATAACTTTTCGTGTGTAAACAAAATGGAGGTTGACCGTGGCTATGGAACGTGTTGTCTATTTTCCGCGTCGGTGTGCATACTGCCGCCTTTAGGTGAAAACTAGCACATGCAACGCCGAGGGCTGTTTAGCTCATGGATCGGCATGCACTCGAACTTCATTAGGAAAAAAAAATGGAGATCAGAACAGTACACCATAAATAGGTCATCAGGCGCAACGTAATGAAACTAGCTGATGAGCAGAAACCGTCGCAGCAAAAAAACGCATTGTAGTGTTCCTCACTGCACTTGTGATCCATTAATTTTCAATAAATCAGCAGAACTAACGGATCTTTCCTTGTTCATCTATAGTTCAGTATTGGTGTTTCAGTGTTCATACACTTCTGCAAACGAGTTTTCATTAAAAAAACAGTGACACGTGTCCCAAACAAAGCAAACTATTGCAGACTCACCTGTTGTAGTCTCAAGCCAAACGATACCGTTTAAACAGATAGTTGTTCCTGGTTCACAAGGTCCAAGTAAATCCGGTTCCGTAATTGTGGCCTTACATAAATCTTCTAAAACAGTGTTCACACCAATACATCGTGGTTCGGATTTCGTAGAAGAGGGTGCAACATTTGGTGTGTCAACAGTGACCAAGGATGAGTCAGTAAGTGTACCAGTTAACGGACAAGATACTTTAGTTGTGGTTGTAGTGGAAGATTCGGTCGCCTTCGTGGTGTTGACGCCAGACGGTAGGCTTGGGGAGGCAGAACCGGAGGAGTTCAATTCAGACGATTGAAGACCAACATCCGAAGAAGACTGTGGTGCACGAAGTCCATTCACACTGTTCGCTGGCGTGTCCGCCTGTTGGATTTCGTGGGTTAAATCTGGTTCGGGAGTTGTGGAGTTTCTGTGTGACTGAGGTTGGGTAGGTATGGGCTGTGCTGTGGAATGGGCAGGCTGTGTGTGGGAATGAGGAGTAACCGAACTGGAACCGTTGGTTCCCATCGGCTGTTGCTCGATTTCAAGATCTTCGGAATTCCTATGAAGGGAACAAACCGGAGATGAGACCGAAGAGGCCGGGGATGAAGACGATGCGGACGACGGAGTTGCTGTGTTGGTTTGAACAAAATCAGTCAGTACTGACAGAGGACGAGTACAGTGATTGCGACGCTGATGATGATTGTGGGTGTGATGATCACGGTGGTGGTGGTGGTGATGATGATGATGGACAGCTAGTGGAGACGAATTTGCACTTGGGCTGGGATGATTGAACATCGCCTGTGGCAATGGACTGCTTCGAGCGGAATCCGATAAGCAACGGTCTTCGACCTGATTGAAGGTGTGATTGAAAAGAAATGATTAAGAAATCAAAGCCGAAAGTTAAAATGATCCATGGGATAAAGTGAGTAGTTTCTTAAATCCATACTGTTAGACAACTTGGACGATCTGGTACAGCATGAATTAAATTTAAAAATGTTAGATGAAACTGCTAAAGTTACCTATAGGACTGCAATTCAGTGATGAACATTTTTACAGCTACGGACGGAGTTCGTCAAAAAATTGAACAAATCTCGATAATATAGCGCATGTGCTCGAAACCTAATGATCCGTGACGTTCTGTATCAACAATTTACCCATATTGCAATTCCTTGGTAAACAAAAAAGTAGCTTAGATGTATGTATGATGTTTGCATGTTACACGTCACATCTTTCGAAAATTGCCCCTATTGGCAAAACAGGATTTTCGACGTAGAAGCGAAATACAATGAAACACTGTGTATGCGAGGAATCAAGTGCATGTCGCAAACATCAATTGTACATGTGAATTGCATTTTCTCGCGATAGTTTTAGTTGCCTCATTCTGGTTGGTCATTCAGATGAATGAGTAAGAGGAACAGTTGCAAATGTCGAAGTTATACCGCGGTAAGGAGAGATATAAGAGAAAAATTGAGTAGATGCACGAGTCACTGTTTACTACAGTCATATCACTCAGTGTCACTAGCCAGCGATTAGATCTACCCCGAACCCGTCCATTGAGAATTGGTCCCCTAAATGCCCTGTCTCGATACCACACATGACAACCGATTGGATAATTGAGGATCCCATCGAATCTCGATGAAGAACGGAATGTCGCGGTGGTGACATAAATGGCTCACATTGATAAGCGCCAACTGGGACTTCTGTGTACGAGAAGAAATTTCGTCCACGGCGCGTGCTTCGAGCGATACAGCTGCCTCAAAATAGTCTAGATCCTCTAGTCTTTGTCTATCGTTTGGCTCCTTTGTTACAGTGAGGTCTAGAGCTGCACCCACACGATTCTGTGGAAGCATTTGACACTTTACATGTGTGAAAAGCATACCAGGTACTGCTACTGTATCACTTATACCATGATTAGGGACGCTTTCGCTGTCAAAGTGAATGATTAGAACGAGAGAAGAACAAGCTTCTATGAAAAAAGTTCACTTCCATTCTGTGAATTTTGCACCGAATACAAATGCATTACATGCGTTTCAGTGAATCTTCTCATGTTCCTGTTCCAGTTTGTAATTGGTCTGGCTCTAAATAGTTCATTTGACCATAATAAGATTGATTCATGGGTTTCATCAGGTAGTTGACTGTTAGGACTTAAAGGATGGAGCCGAAAAGTAACAGCAGTCAGAATTACGAAGAAAAAGAAGAACCCGATACCGAGTTTCAGATTAGCAGGAGAAAGCGGCACATTGACCACAAACAATTGGGCTACAGACTACGCGGAAGAAAAATACAGTTCACAAAATTTCGCGCAGAGTTCATCGTTCGCTTTATTAGGATTTGGTCCATACATAATGCAAAGTACATAAACAGATGATGAGAGGATGTATTAACACAGCTTATTCAAAATAGTCTTTGTTGACAAATTATTGAAAATAGATTCTCGTAGCTTGGGTGAACTGAATTCCATTTCGCCTGTTCGCCGAGCTTGGCAATTTGTTTGCAAACGTTTCATCACCAGCCGAGGTGACATCATCAGTACTTGTGAAGTGGCAGTGTTCTGTCTGTATCCGTTCGTTTATATATGTATTCTTCCCCACCGACTATTTTTTGTCCCTTGTTCTCACTCTGTTCGACTCAGTTCGCCGTGGGGGGTGGAGGTGGGCGGAGTTTGTCCTTTCATCCTGATTGCGGTTTCGTTCCGTTCTCGGGACACGGCGTGACCTTTTTTGTTGCGTCATTTGATCCTTGAGTTGCATTGTACACGTGATCCAGTTCGATTTGCCTGTTTATTGAGTTAGTTGAAGACTTCCAAGTCTCGAGAAATTCTCTGGCGTGTTTTGACCGGGCTTGGTCGATAATTTTCACTGATTGTAAGTCAAATTGATGTCCTTCTTTATCTTCGTGGAGCGAAATCAAAGATAGTGGGCCATGTTCTCTGACTGCCGACTGGTATTCACGGATTTTTGTTGACAGTTTTCTTCCAGTCTGTCCGATATAATGTTTTGGGCAGTTCTTGCAGTTTATTTAGTAGATACTACTGCTCTTGTCCTTCTCCATTGTTCTCTTCTTTGGTTTTGACAGAAGTCTCCCTAGACAAGTAGTTGGTTTGTGGACGACTTGGATTCCATATGATATCAGCAGTTTTGCTGTCATTTCCGAAACGTACTTGAGGTACGGTGGGGTTGTTCTTGTTCTCGATTCTCCGCCTGTTATTTCTTTCTTTCTTTGAGTCAGAGTTCTTTTGATAAAATTGCGGGGATAGCCATTACGAACAAACACTCTGAGTAGGTATCTTTCTTCTTCAATATGTCGGTGCTGCAGTGTGTTTGGACTCTTCCGAATAGGGTTCTAACACAGCTGTGTGGATGATTACTTTTGAAGTTCAGAATTTGGTCCGTATACGTTGTTTTGCGATAGACCGTTGTCTCCAGTTTTCCTGATGGCGTTCTGATGATCAAAATGTCGAAAAATGCCAGTTTTTTATCCTTCTCGGTTTCCATTGTGAACTTGATGCCATTGAATGTGTTATTGATAATGCTGTATATTCTTCCCCGTTCCGAATTTTTCAAGATGACGAATGTGTCATCAACGTATCAGTGCCAAAGTTTTGGCATGATTCTTGGTAGTACCTTCTTCTCCAGCTTCTGCATTATGGTTTCGGCTATGGATCCAGAAATTGGCGATTCCATTGGTGTTCCTTTCAGGCGTTTGTAGATTTCACACTCGAATTCGAAGTACGTCTGCATGTTCCATGTTCCATGAGTTCACAAATGGCAGATGGTTCCATTGGTTGGTTTGGGGATGCTCAGTTATAAATACCCTCAAAGTGGATCTCGAAAGGTCCAAGTCGATCGAAGTGAACAAAGCGGTGACATTGAACGAGACCATTATTACGTCCTCTTGGATGTTGACATTTTCGTCAATTCCGAAACCAGAGCTAAAGCTCCATCTTAAAAGCGGATGGGGAGAGCCCGTCTGGGCCGGAGGCTTTATGCCTTTCGATATAGCTTATTTCCCGGGAATCCTCCATTTCAGATGGAGGACTGACATCGACTGGCAGTCGCGGTGGAGGATGATAGTTCAGATGTCGATGGGGGCAGTTGAACTGAGCCTCAAAATGTTCAGCCCATCGATCAAGACGGTGTTGCTGAAGGTGAATCAGTGTGTCATCGGATTCCTTAATTACCACACTTAAGCCTAGGGCCCGAATTCCTAATTAGAAGGAAAAAAATGCAACTATTATCAGTGGCCGCGGCCTTCTCCATCTATCTACACTTTCCTATCCACCATTTCTCTTGATGAGCTGGTGTTTGAGGAATTTGCGCGCTGTGGCAAGACGGGATAATACCAAAGGGTTTAGAGTGTTCCAAGCTAACCAACGATTGGTGTCAACCACAAATTCTGACGTCCTCTGTAATAGTTGTTGCTGCTACTGCTGCTCTATTTAGCTGATCAAAAGCAGTTACTTAGATATTCACAAAACGGAGTCCCACTGCAATCCTTCGGTGGTACAGGTAGCTTCAAATGCTAAGTTGCCTACGAGCTCGTTCAGAAATGTCACTGAAAAATTATGCAGTCTCGAAACAGCATTAATTTCGCAATGAACAAAATCCTAAGCAGTGCTCAAGAAAAATGCAGAGCTTCCGGTACGGAGCCCCTTCCAGATGATCGACTCAATGGCTTTGTATATACTGACGACATCGTTATACTCCGCGACTCATTCCGAGACGCTCAAAACGTCCTGTGTCAGCATTATCCATCACACAATTTGGTCTGACCTTTTCTTCATCAAAGTGTAAGACTGATAAGACTGATAAGAGACTACATCTATCCTCACGCTCATGAACGACCAGTTGGAAATCGTCGATCAATTCACTTATCTTGGGGGCTGTTTCAGCTCAAGAGCAGTGACGGAAGAAATATCAGCGCGTATCCGCAAGGCTCGAGAGGAATTTGCTAACCTACGTCACTTGTGGCGCTGATACGATCCTTGTCTCTTCTTGAAAGGCCGTGTATACAATGCTGTAATGCAGTGTCTTGGCTCCTCCACACGGAAGACGTATGGAGATTAAGTGTGCGTGACCAATCATTGCCGTCGTTGCATCGCCAGAATACGCCGTCAACAGCAAATCATCAACAAAGAATCTTCGCCTCAGACAATCTCGGTCGTCCTCTGAGTGCCGTCATTTCGCTCCCGAGATTTCGGTAGCTGGGACATGTGCTACGGATTTTGGCTCAATGACTGACTCATTGTGTTGTTTGCGGCGACAATGTGGACAAAGA